CGCCACGTCCCGCCTACAAACAACAGCGGCACATTTTGAGCCGCTTTGCCCGCCGCGGTGGCCCGGGCGCCTGCGCCGCGGCATCAGCGTCCGCCGTCCCGCCACAGAGGCCGCATTCAGCCGAGCGCACGGAGGGAGTCCGGCATGGACGTTGTGCCGTGGGGAGGCCCTTCCCCGAGGTGAAGCGTGTGTACGCAGCTTTAGGTCCTCTCAGACGCAGGCGTCCCTCAGTGAGTTCTGCACTCTGAGCATTTATTCATAAAGCTTGCAAACAGACTGGAAGGCACAGATCTCGAGAACACTGTTGTTGTTTTTGCGTGCAACCTTTCCCGCAGCACACGCAAGTCTTTTTAGACTTTGAGTAAACATGCTTATCGATTGTAGGATTATCCCCATAACCACTCAAGTGCGAAAGCTCATTCCCTCAACAAATTGACGGGCGCCCAAAAAGTTAATATTCCTGGCTGGTCCTGCTCATTAAATCAGTTAAATGAAGTGAGAGAGGTGGAATCGGGGTTAACAGAACAGGGATAAAAGCCTTTAAAACCATTTCCGGCCATTTGGGTAACGTGCAAGTCGGAGGCTCTGTGTTCGTCGATCCTGTTTTTTATTCTGTCTCCTTTTTGTGGACGCGTGTTTGTCTTGTTGTCCCTCATTCTGGTCTAAAATGGTCTGTCCACAGCATTGCTCCATCCCCTTTTTGTTTTTGCCGTGATTGCCGGGTCAGTAAATGGCCGGTGGATTGGATCAGGGGGCGCAGTCGTGTTTGGTCCACCAGCTTTGGGTTGTGAAGGCTAATGCCTCCTGACACTCTCAGCTCCATCAGTCCCGGACGCATCATTCCAGTAATGCAGAAGTCATCGGGGCCTGGGATTGCGTGAGGGCTCTCATCTGGAAACCCAAACAACCTTAACCTCATTGAATTCCTGTTGAAGAATGCAAAAATTAATGAAAGGATTAAGTTGCTGCTTTGTCTCGTTGGATTAAACAACATTGTTTGGGATTGATGCGCTCCTCCAATGTAGTGAACGCTGAGGAATATTCCGACACGTTTGCTCACAAACGTCCATAACAAACTCCACAGACACACACCACTGAGTGTGCGCATGCCGTTTCGCAATGTATGTTCAAAGGGCAAAGTTTAATCTGGATTGTGTGGCCTCTTTAGCTGGTGCACTGTTCCTTTCCAACCATACTCCACTTCCTTTACAGGCACTCAACTGAATTGTTGCTTAACCTGCGCAGTGACCCTGCCACATGCTATCTGCATCCTTCCACGCCGGATCCAGCGCTGCACCATTCCCCTTGTGGGCAGGGGCTGTTCGCTACGCGACAACCAGAGCCGCAGCCGCGCGGAGGGAAATCCACAAACCGTGTGTGTGTGTGTGTGTAGGGCAGAGAAGAAAAAAAATCTGCGCCAGTGCTTACTCATCTGTTAAAAACGGAGTGATCTGCAAAGTTTGTATGAGAGGGTTTTTGACGGTGCCCTGCTGCTTTGTCAGTGCAGCACATGCTGCAGGCACTGGCATCCCCTATTGCCTTCCAGGTCATTGGCCAGGCTCAGCGGGCGGTGGGCTTCCAGCCCCATGACACGTCCCCGGCTCACAGCTGGATCCGTTACAAGGTATCATAGCAAATGAGTCGGTAAAACATCACTGGTTTGAAGAGCGTGAAAAATTGTCATGATATCATTTGTAATTCCTGATGTGGACCGCCGTTGGTGAGGAGAGGGGGAGACACAGAGCGGGAGAGCGAGGGGACGTGGTAATCATGGGGCTTTATTCCACTTCGCCATCTCCACCAGTCTCGCCCCCCCAAACACACACACACACACACTATCATCCCCGCCACCGCACACCTTATCCACAAAATTCATGCCTAAGGGGTACGTGAGGGGGGGGGGATCCAAGCTAATGTAAGGCGGCAATAATTAAAGATCTGGTGATTCTAAGCCAAGTGCGTTTTGGGTGTTGGACTCGTAACACGGGAGCTTCGTGACACATTGTCCGCTTCTTGAATATGGATTTTGCTCCTCATTGCACTTGACACGGGGTAGTTGTGGAGTGTCATGTTGGGGGCTTTCTACCGTTGGTGGCAAATATTTGGGGAGATTGGACAGAGCAGTTGAGGGAAATGCTTTGAGTAGCAGTGAAGCTGCTGCAGAAATGAACTGCAAACATGCAAATACAGTGACGGACATGTTTAGGATAGAGAATATATGCTGTATACAAATGGAGATTTTAAAAAAAGGCCTTTTTTAAGTCATGTGTCTGTTAGTCAATTAAAAACATTACACTCACTTGTTTTATTGCAAAACCATTGTTTGTAAAGAGCATTTTAGTCATACTTCAAAATCTTGTATTTTGTCTGATATTATTCACAAAGAAAAACCCCTCATGAAAAAAGAAAATGACACAAACGCCACTGTATTATGCAATGAAATTAGACCCATAAGCCTTGATCTTTAACCTTTCAGCATTGGGAGCATGGCTGTGAGGCTGTGTACAGGTTTGATGGATGCAAAAAATGGACAAACATCAGCTCCCTCTAAAACCACAATGGAGACCTTGGATCTAAATGTCATGGTTTCATAACGGATACACTGACATTTGTGTGATGGGATTTAGCCATGGGTTAATATAGCCATTGCTGGCACAACGCATTGATGTCCATCTCACTCAGGCTGTGAAGTCTATCTTACCATTTTTTTTTGGTGCCCTCACAGAAGTTTCATTCAAAGGGAATTGGATTGGATTCTATGCTGGTTAAAGCCAATTATTTTATCAGAAAACAAACCTGTTTGATATTGTACGTTTCTTTTATATGATGATAATGGGCCTCAGGAGCAGTTCAGATCCTTCTTTTTTTGTTGAGTGTTGGTACAGGCGTGTAGGCGTGTTGTGGGGGGGTCGTGGGGGGGGGGGGGGGGTAGCTGTCGGGGGAAGGCGGGCGATCAACATTAAAATCAGAGCCATGTAAATCTAATCAATTATACAGTTTTTCAGATAAAATGTTAGTAAATCAAAACACATTTACCCAAAAGTCACAGTATAATGAGAAATTTAAATTGGAAACAGAAACCATTTGTTTATTATAAATGCCAGGGTGAGGTGGTGACTCGCCATCCATAAATTTTGTTATCCTTTCATATTGCTTTTATCTATGACTACAGCTTTGGCACTCATTCAAGATTTTAATGAACCCGGACTTCTGAGGCATCAAGGCCTAGTGATGCATTGTCCATTTGGATCAGGGAGTACAGAGGGGGGACAAGGGAGAGAGGCTTTTTGCCTTTGACATAATATTTTATATTCTATTGCCTTACAGGGGGGTCATTAAGTGATTGCAACATTTAACAAAATAACAGATTGACAAGAATGGACACATATTCAGCATATATCTGGAATTACCAACCAGAATCATTATCGTGTGTGTGTGTGTGTGTGTGTTTGTGTGTGTGTATGTGTATGTGTGTGTGTGTGTGTATGTGCATGTGGCAAAGGGGGGGACTTAAATCAAAAACACAATTTTCTGTGCTTTACAGGGATACAGAGAACCCCCCTGCTCTGGCGCGACCTGGTGTCGGCGGCTTTCTTGAGCTCAGAGGTTCCTAGGGGAGACCAGAATGGAAGTTGAGCATCTCGCTGTGATCCAAAGAAAGTGTGCCAAATGCTATCAAAACTGGATTAGCAGACAACAATTGTGATGAACGGGGGGGGCGAGGTAGTTTCTAAGTAACCCGGGGATGGAATTTTCCAACCGCCTCATATTTATCCCACGTAGGAAAGGTTGCACTTGTAAAATATCTTTGTTTAGGGATAAATTCAAAGCAAGGTTTCATGATGATGGATTTACCAGTTTCTGACTGTAAAAAAAGTGATTTTTGTAAGTTGAACTCATTTCAGATTCTTTGAGGCTTGCATTTGCTTTGGAAGACATCAAATATATGCCTTTTTGTCAAATGACAGCAAATAGTCACATTACATGCACTGTCTACACACAACCCCTTGTTACATGTTCAACCAAAGACAAATGTGTCCCTCGGAGGTCGTTTAAGTTAAATCATTTCACCAGTAATTAAAAAAGAAACATACCACCGATAAATGGTACCAAGGATTTCTAGCAGAATTGTGTCCTGATTTTATTGAAAATAACCCCTGACACTTATTCAGTGACCCATATGTGCTGGCCGTGACTCAGAGCATTGGGAAAATATAGCTACTGCCTCAGAGTACACTTTCTGGTCAGAACACAAAAGTTGCATTTCATTACTAAAAAAAGAAACCTTTTGTGATGTCAATGCAGGACCACTCCCACTGAACCCAACCAAGACACGGTCACCATGGCCTTACGGGCAACCTCCAAACACACTCCACAACCTTGGCCAGCAAAAAGAACCACAAAAGATGCATATGCGCATCCTTCGTAGGCCCTTAGAGCACAACGGCTGACATTTGCAAATCCCCTGTGGACTTAATCATGGTGAATATCATGTGTCGTTTGTGCAGCACACTTGGCTCTGGCTGACGTTAGTGGTAGTAATTCACCACCGCTGCGAGAGAGAACCCCCGGGGTGGCGCTGCAACTTGTGTTCAAACATATCTTCTCTCTTTCCCTGCAATCCTCATCCCATTTTTCTCTGTTGCAAACTTTCACCCTGTCCCATATGTCTCACAGAGCATATGGGGAGCCGAGTTGCTGCAGACAGAGACCATGTGTCAGGCAAATAGTCATGTCACTATTTGCCTCTTGGAACTTTAAGAATTTTAAGTCTATTACACGTATTGAATTATCCTTTTTTTAAAACATGTTGTCATAACTGACTGTTTCGCTAATCTCCCTTTCAAATCCTCCTCCTCTCTCGGTAACAGCGTCACATCAATTGCTACAACTCATTGTTTACCGTCCCATGTGCTATGAGTCCTTGGTAGCCCGCCCCCTCTCCACGCTCTAGCCAATCACGTAGCTCCCGCACGGTGACGGACCTGCTTCTGCAGCCAATTGCTGCCTGCTCTGAATGCGCGTCATCGAAGGAAACATGGCGGCACACATCATCAGAGCCGTCAAACGGCTAGCTCCTCAGTAAGTCACCTAACGTTTCCTTCCTTCCCTTCTCTCTTTCTCCTTAATGTGCCGCCTGTCTTGTCAAGAGCCACACCTGTAAAAACGTAACGGTGCTCATTTTGTTCAAACTGTTTCCGCCGTGTCACCCTAACAGCTGTTGATCCAATGCCACTTGTTTTGGTTGGCTGGGCAGAAGGAGGCTAACGTAACTTCCAGGCGTTTGCGCCGCTGTTTTTGACGTTATGCTGGTGTGTCATCGCCGTGACGTCAGCTCAATGGACGAAGTGGAGCCGCGGTCGTGGCTGCGAGCCTCGATAGTTATGCACATAACTTGTGTCGTTGACCACAGCGGCTCGAAGGGGATTCGATGGTGTCCCGTGCTGCGGGGGCTCGGGATAAAGAGGACGCGCTAATCGATACTGGTACCAAAACACACCCCGGGCACCGCAAAGTGACACGCGACAACAGAGCAGACGAAACGCGTGCAAAGGGGGACGCAAGTGTGTGTGCGCATGATTGCCTATGCGTGTTTGTGTGAAGGACTCTTGTTGGTCATTTCTGGCCAAAAGGCCAATTATAGTGAGATGTGCTTGGATTATCAGCCAGGATCTGAGCCTTCGTTTAAAAATCAGAAATGAGTTATTTATATATACATCACTATGTACCCGTATGTCAAATGGGGAATGCCTGCTCAGTATGGAAGGACTAACCATTCTAGTTTTGGAGCTCACTGTTCCTCTGGAGAACATACCTGAGGAGGCATGTGGAGCAGAGCACTAAGAATATGAAACTTACGAAGTAACTTCCCAAAGGATATTGCAGTATAATAGGTGAAGATAAAACAAGCTATAATTTGGAGTGAATAAACACTTCTGATGAGCCCGACTATGGATTTTGCCAACAATGCAAATGAATTTCTAAAATATTTTATTGAAAACAATTTCAATATGACCCTTTTTGCTCTTGAGTGGTATTATTAAAATGTAAGCAGTGTTTCTGAAATATAATCTAAAAATATTCAATGCTAAAAATCGGGTAGAAAATTCTGAAAACTATTTCTCTGTGGTACAAAGGTGGTACATTACAAAAGCTATGTTGGCGGCATCCTCCGATTTAATGTGATTATTATAATTAAGTTTATTGAAATCCTCAACACATGAGTCTGTACAGAAATGCAAATATAAAACCAATTCAACAACTGAGCCAAACAAAAGCCAATTACACGGTTTAAATCCGTAACTTAACGGCAAAGGTCAGTGCTTGAATGTTAGGGAGTAGGCCTGTTGGTGAGACCATTATAAATAATACAATCTACATGTATTGTATATTTATACCATTTAATTTTTTCAGTCATTCACACCGTTTTTTTGTCTTTCAATCCCAATCTTCTCCAAGTACTTGATGCAAAAGAAAAGATAGAACCAGTCAAGGAGTCTCAGCACTGTGAAGATGTACTGAGGCACAGCAGCGGCTAACTTTAGCATGCTAATATGTTCACAAGAACAAGGCTATCGGGCTGTTTAGTGTGTTAGCGTGCCCACGTGCACTAGACACAAAGGACGGCTCGGGCGTGTGGGACTGTGATTAGTTTTGTCATAAACCAAATGATTGAAGGCGTGTTAACTAATGATGCGTTTACACAATATGACCGACTGCGACAGGGAATTTACGTTCCAGAGCAGCGGTGTCAAACACATTTTAGGGCCACATACCACCCACTGAAATCACAGGCGAGTGTCCTGTCGACGGGGCGGGGGGGGGGCATTGGGGCGCGGATGGTCCGGTCGGGTGCCGGAAATCTCACAGTGACTCTGTTGAGTGCAACGCATGCGCTAACTCATACAGTGCAACACCCAGTGGACTGATTATTATTCTCACGGTAAAGTCATCCGCCGGGCCAAACTGGACCCCCCCCCCCGCCCGGCAGGCCGGATCCGGCCTTGAGTTACACACCCATGTTGTGGAGTATTCACTAGTGCGGTTGCTCCCAAAGTCCCCTCCTCCTTCATGTGTCAATCATCCCAGTTTGCCTCGTCCCGGTGACTGGAACAAGTTGTCAAAAAGAGAAGCCAAAAGTACACTTTCATTCCTACCCAAATGTAATAACACGTTTCTTATGCACCTGCTTTTCATTTTGCTTCTCTGGAACAAGGTAAATAAATATTTCCTGCTGTAGTGTAATGTTTTAGTTTTGTCCAAAAGTTCTATCCATCTTTGAATGTCTTGTATCGGCTTGCCTTCTATCGCTGCTTCTTGGCCACGTCCTATTTGTTATTAAGAATTGGTAGTCAATTGACTTAAATAATAAGGTCAAACAAAAATGGATTTAAAAGTGATCACTGTGGTTATCGTGGTACAATGCGGCTGTGATCTATCTGAGACGTTAAGGCATAGTTACTAAAACGGTATTGGCCCTTAGTGTAGATGAATTAGTCATTATATGCCAGGGACGCAGTGTTTTTAGAAACGTAACTTATACTGATGACTAAAAGTTGTAATTTAGCGTTTGCTGCTTTGATTTTATTTTGAAAATCTCAATTCCCCCAACTTAATGGAACTGCAAAATGCTTCTGCTGGACTACCTCTTTGAAAACCAACGAGCGCTCACATTGTGTATTAGTCTTCGCCATGGGGTTCAACGGCAGATGGTCAGCAGTCAAGGTGGCCTGCGGTGCTCTTCTACCTTTTCTGTGACTTCTCACGCAGGTCTCATTATCTGGCATAATTAGAAACTTCCGGCACTCTGAGTGCCACAAAGAAGAACGTGAGCGGGTTTGATATTCCAGCAACGTGTCCGCACCGGTCAACTGCGTTGTGACATGTGGCTCTAATTCAGGGCGCAGGAATCTCCAGAGGCACAAAGCTGATGATCCTGCCAAATTAGAGTGTGAAGTGATTGTCACGCCGGTCTGGTGTGCGAGTGAGTGAGTGAGTGTGGTTCTCTGTTAGTACTCGTGGTCATCGCCTGAACAGAGAAGAAAAAAAGACACAATGTGTTCTCACCTCCGTAATCCCCCTCAGTGTCTCTCATTGTTCTTGTAACATTTACCAATTCTTTGCAGTGCATATGAAATGTCTTTACGGATGTCCTACTGTATGCAGAACCCGTATTGCTGTAGCAGAACCCAACAAGAATCCCATTAGCGGGGTTGAGATTTCATATGCCGCACGCATGAGAAATCTCCACCCCCGCTAATGGGATTCTTGTTGAGTGTCTGTGGGTGAAGCGGCGCCTCCCTGGTTAAACGTGTCTCTCTCAGAGGGCTGTGGGACCAGGGGAGGAATGTGTGCGCTCGTTTTATGGAAAAGCCTAGAGCCCTCGCCCTGGCATTGGCGGCAGACTGCTCTTTGTCACAAACACCCCCGTGTCAAAGATGCAACGGCATCCTGGAGGAAGCATTGACTGCCGCTATGAAGTCGACAAGTGATGAAAGTAGCCTAGAGGTTGTCAATTAAGCGAGCCGAGGCCTGGACCTTATAAGTTAATGGGCAGTTTCCCCTTTCAGGGCCTGCTAGGACTTTATAGCACAGCTTATAAAAAAAAACCAAAAAAAACCTAGCGTAATGCTCCCCTATAACGTTTTCAATTAAGAGAAGGCGCATAAAGCAGTGCAGACACTTGGCAGTCATGCTAGAATGTTTTTTAAGTGGCATTTGCCATAAATTGGGAGGGGAATTTTTCAATTCCCTCAGTTGTTTTAAAGCAGCAGCTACTGTGCAGAGTCTTATTCTGATGGTATTTCCTGCTGACTGGAAGCATTACAGACTTCCTGGTGTCTCCCCATTACCGGCTCCTTCAGCTCGCTCACATGGCGAGTTTTAAAAGCTGTGTGTCTTCGCAGTTGTAAAGACATTAGAAACAAGAGGGAAATTTAATATACTTATGTTAAACACTTTATTTTTGTCATAAATCCCAATGTAATTTCACAGTATATTGGGAAATTACCACTTTAACCTTAAGAGGAATTTTCATGTAATGCAATTAAAGACAATCAGATAAGAGTATTGTTTGTTAACATAATTGCCACTTGAACAACACAGAGCTCTTGTTTGTGAGGCAAACAGAAATAAGTAATGCTTTCAAATGCCCCCCCCCCCATCATCTGGTGTCCTCTGTGGCGGCGCTTGCTTGGGCAGCTTCCGGTAGATAAATAACTGAGTGTTGAATAAACAGCCGTGTGTTGACACCTCATTTCCTCATTGATTGGTGGTGGAAGCCAAAGCTTGAGGTGTGTGGCCATAATCCAATCAAGCAGGAAAACAACCGCGGCGACTGTGTAACCAGATTCTTCAGGCCCAGTAGCCTCGAACCTCGCGCTCGCCGTCGCATCGTTTTTTGTGATACCTTTTTGAAAAGCTATTCACTTCGTAACGGCAAGGCGAAATATGCAAGACTGGCAAAACACACAATGGGAAAAGTAAAGACAATCCACACGCCTCGATGTCGCCGCCTGTGGGTGTGTCCAACAGGCTTTTTCAATTTGAGATGTTCTGTTGGACTCTCTTTGAGCCAATTCATCAGTAAATCGCTCTATTACCTGTCGTTGACTCGGCTACAGTCCTGCCTTTGAAATGTGTTACCGAGCATTAAGCTGACACATGTTGCCGTGTGAAAACAAAGCGGGTCGTGGAACGCCAGCTGAGTAAACGCGGCCCTCGGGATGGCAGCGGAGAGAGCGAGAGGCCTACGCTTGTCCTCGGCGCCGACGGAGGCGGGACACACACACACACACACACACACGGCCAGCAGATGGATGCGTTACCCCGCATCCCCAAACCAAAACAAGTGTCTCTGCTCCAGCACGGAGCGCCTTTGATCCGCGGCGCATGGCTTTGGGCTTCGGAGCGGGGCTTCTTTTCAGGACCCCAGAGCGCACATGGAACCGCATCTGTATAAACAGGGGAGGAATGTGTGAACAATGCAGCGAAAGAATTCGGTTCCAGAAACGCGGGGTGTGCTGGACCGAGGGGTGGTTTGTGTGGTTTGGGAGACGGAGCGCGGTGGTCGGGGTGAGGGA